CCACGGCCAGATTCGCAAAGTAAGAGAAAACTTACTTCACACAGACTTCTTACATCGGAAGAAATTTTACAAGAAAAGAAGAAAAAAGCAGAAGAAAAGAACTAAAGAAAGAAATGAGAAAACTGAAAAAAGAAAAAGCGCTAAAGCAAAATGTGAAAAAATAGACGTGATTTAACAGTGTAATGGAAAATGTTATTAGTATTTGTTTTTAATTTATTGAGTGGTAATGTAACAACTATAAAATTTATATATATGTTGCTGTTACATAAATAAAAAAAAAATATTTCCCCCTAAAATATAAACTTACAGAGCAAATTTTATATGCATTTCTCTAAAAATTTATAATTTTCCTCCTTCAATTGAATTTTTTTCTCGACGTTCGAAATTTCCCAACATGGACGAAATTACCCCATTTCCCTGTTCGATATTACCCCGTTGCCAATCGAATTTACCCCTTCCGTACCTACAACACAAAAGAAATAGATTTCATATCTAAAGACGAAACAAAGCGTCAAAATAACACAGAATAAGCAAGTTCTCAAAACGTTTAATATAAAGGGATATCAATGAGCACCGAGCGTTTTCTGGTTGCAACTGTATTTACGTTCAAGACCAATGGTGTACGAAATTACCCGGATTGACTCTAGTTTAGTAAAATTGATCATATCTAAGCCTTTTACATGTAGTACGATTTTTAACTGACGTGTGTTACTGAAAAATATGTTTGTTTTCAATAAAACCTGTTGATTTGATTTTTTTTCGTATATTTAAAATTTCAAAATCAAATGATTCTTACACTTTTTAAAGTGGATTAATTACTTTATTTTCCTGTTAGCTTTTACCTATGTTCTTCGTGCACATAGGATCATCTCTTTCATAATGATTTAAAACATTTAAAAATGTAAAGGAATTTGTATATTTAGAATAGATGCAATGAAACTCAATTATTTAAGTACGTTTTTAGCTCTACTGGTCAAAGACCAGAAGAGCTTATGCGAAAGTAAGGTGTCCGGCGTCCGTCTCAGGCCCGTAGGAAGCAATTTCAGTTGGGGGGGGGGGGGGCATAGCCATACATTTTTCAGTTAACAGTTGAGGGGGCACTGCCAAAAATTTTCCTGACAAGCAAATAAAAAAAAAGGTCATCAACTACCAAAATTTCTTGACAAGCAAAAAAAAAAAAAAAGAAAAAAAAAAGAAAAAAGGTCATCAGCCGTTTTTATTGAAGGGGCACAAGCGGCAATATCGGCAAAATTATTGTGGGGGCACCCTCCCCCCCCCCCCCCCCCCCCCGGTTCCTACGGCCATGCGTCTGTCTGTGTGTCTGTCTGTAAACATTTTTTTCAAAATGCTACTTCTCCTACAGTTTTGGTCTGTTTTCAATCTAACTTGGCACACAAGTAGACTACACTAAGATACATAATTTAGTGCATCGTTTTTTTTTTATTTCGATGAGCGGTGTTGCCATGGTTACTAAAAATAGAAATTTCTGAGAAATTCCTTTAAAACGCTACTCCTCCTACAGTTTTGGTCTGATTTCAATATAACTTGGCACACAAGCAGACTACACGAAGATACATAATTTAGTGCATCGGTTTTTGATTTCGATGAGCGGTGTTGCCATGGTTACTAAAAATAGAAAGAACAAGGTTACGGTTTCAATACAAATCTTGCCATGTGTTTTTCTCAAAAATAAAAGTAATGTAAAAAATTAAAACTCATGCTTTCTGAATCATTGAAATTCCATGCAGAAAGTTCATACACATCATTTTTTTCTCGCACAACCTTCTAAATGCTAATTGTGACGTCATAAACTTGTGCATTTTCCCGTATTTTCTTAAAAAGTTGCAGAAGACAACAATTTTCAATGGAATTTTCTTTCAGATAATATTGTCCACAGGCATCGCCCACAAAGATTTTGAGATATGTGATTTTTCAAAGCATTTTACACAACATATCCAAAAATTAAAGTGGGTGACGGCTGTGGACACTATTTTCTGAAGGAAAAGAACCCTTGAAATGGGTCATTTTGAGGCTTTTTCTGTTTAAAATAGAGAAATGCATCAAATTAATGACGTCATATTTCCAGATTGGTACTCCTCCATGCCATAATCTTTCCTGATTTATCACAGTCATATACTCAACTAATATTGAAGCTAGTTTCAAATCCTTTTGAGAACATTAAATTTTTAAGGCACAATAAAGCTTAAACCGTACCTTCTTCTTTCTGTGAAATTCCTTTAAAACGCTACTCCTCCTACAGTTTAGGTCTGATTTCAATTTAACTTGGCACACAAGTAGACTACACTAAGATACATAATTTAGTGCATCGATTTTTGACTTCGATGAACGGTTTTGCCATGGTTACTAAAAATAGAAACTTCTGTGAAATTCCTTTAAAACGCTACTCCTCCTACAGTTTTTGGTCTGATTTCAATATTAATTGGCACACAAGCAGACTACACTAAGATACATAATTTAGTGCATCGGTTTTTGATTTCGATGAACGATGTTGCCATGGTTACTAAAAATAGAAATTTGTGAGATTCCTTTAAAATGCTACCCCTCCCCCAGTTTTGGTCTAATTTCAATATGATTTGGCATACAAGTAGACTCTATTAAGATACATAATTTCGTGCATCGGTTTTTGATTTTGATGAACGATGTTGCTATGATTACTAAAAAAAGAAATTTCTTTGAAATTCCTTCAAAACGAAACTCCTCCTACAGTTTTGGTCTGATTTCAATATAACTTGGCACACAAGTAGACTACACTAAGATGCACAATTCAGAGCATCAGTTTTGGATTTTGATGAACGATGTTGCCATGGTTACTAAAAATAGAAATTTTTGTGAATTTCTTTTAAAACGCTACTCCTCCTGCAGTTTTTAATTGATTTCAATTTAACTTGGCACACAAGTAGACTATATTAAGATACATAATTCTATTTATTGCCTGCATGTTGCAAAGTTTCAAATCCAAGTGCTACTTGTATATGTACAGACCAGTAGAGCTACAGTCTCATCAGAGACTTCTGGTTAATTTTATGCACCAAATGTTCTTGGTTGGTTATAAATAGAACAATATTGGAATCATTTAAGAAATATCAACATATCAATACCAATACTAAGGTTATGGCTCACTAGCCATGAGAATATTTTTAGACAATAAAGAAGAAAATTAATCAAGCGATTCTGCACTTGTTTTCCTTTTGTTAATGAAGGTCAAAATCTAAAATCTAAGTTTCCAGTTGATAATGATCGTCTAATGCTTTCTACGATTTATAATTTTTGGTGTATCTAGTCCGGATGATTGTTCGATTTCAAACATGTGCCTTGGTTCTTTGAAATGCTCTTTTGTTCTGGCTTGATGGAAGGAGTTTATAGGAAAGTGTGAGTTATTATAAACCACACTTTTAGCAAATGAAATCGCACCTAACTATGGTACAAACATAAAAAGTGGATCAATTTAACTGCATACCTGGTACTCTTTACCCTTATAGCCTACGTCTTTTAGTCATCTGATACCTGCCTATATCTATTTTTGTTGACGAAAATATAGGTCCCCAAACTTGTGTGAGTTAATTACCGGTTTTCTCCAAATTTCATTCCTTAATCTTTTGTCACAAGACACACGGATTGCATGCCGAGTGTCTTTTGAAAAATTGAAGGAGAGTTACAAAAAAGATGGCTAAGATCACCTATTATGGAATCCTTTTCTCCCTTTCCAAGGCAAAACTTAATTTCTTCAAATTAATACTTCACCAATCACGACAACCAATCAAATGTCATCCAATTAAATGCTCGGTATGATTTCTCTAACATCATGATAGAAAGTTCAAACAGAGAATTTGATGAAACAGAGAATAAAGTGAAGAAATGAAAAAAAAGTGGCAATATAGGCATAGCCGTTGTTTTACTTCTAGGGACAACTATCTCGTAATTTCAAGTCCACAAGTGCTAAATTTTTTCGACGTGTGTCGACGGCTGTTTATTCTTTCATTATATATAAAATGCAATTTTATTTATTTATAGGTTCGAATATGTTCATTAATTTCTCCCACAAGAGAATTCGTTCATCTTCATATTAAATGCCTTGTGGTCGAAATTATACAGTCAGACTATTATAACGACTTTAACGTCTTTAATAATTGACTTGGGTGAGTTTTGGTTTCTTGATCATAAGAAACTGGTCCATGACAAATACATCATTTTAAACGCTTACACAGCAGTTTTTCTCCACATTACCACAAGGACTTCAATCAAGTTTCAAAAATTCACAGGAACAGTGTTAAGTCAAACATATTCACTCATTATTTACTTCATTATTTCTTCGCTAAATCGAACATGTATTTTAAGATAAGTGCCCCTCATATCGTCAAACTGATGATATTAATGCATTTTAGGATTGGCCACATTTGCCAAACATTAAATATCATTTCATGTTAGTAGAACACTTTCTACCAAATTATTCGCTTGACAGGTACAGACCCTACGAAGATTAATGAACGAAAAGAATGACATTATTAACTTTAAGAACTTTATAAAACGAAAAGGTTGTCACATTAATTTCGGAAAACCATTACTTTTTGGTAGAGTCTGTGATCTGTTTTTGGAAGTGATGGTAAAACTTTTCCAAGATATTTTATTAGATCATCGTTTAACATCAATATCTGGATAATCAAGGGTCCCAAGATGAAAGACATAATTAACATAATACATGTAAATGTCAAACAGTGTCTTAAATTATCTCTTTAGCAACCTAAACATGTATACACTAAGCTCTTTTGCTTGACTGTGGGTAAATATTATGAATTAACACAAATTGACTTTTTACCTGCCTCTTAGTTTGCAAGTTCAAATTAAATGGTATTGTTAATAAATATTAATTATTTGTAAGAAAACACTATTAGTTGGTATAGGATGCATTTTCATATTTTAATTATGAAGATAAATTAATGAAATATATCACTGACGCTTTTATTTACAATAAACATACAAACCTGTCTACAGCAATGAGAGCCAACGTATTCACTGATGCACACACTGAGATTTGCTGAATGAAAGGTGTTGCTTTACACATCATTGTGCCCAACCGCCAGCCTGAAATTAGTTTAACAAAATTTCGCCATTTCAAGAAGAAATATATATCCAGCGAGCTCTTTATAATCATTTTGTCTTCGTTACTACTCATTTAGGTACTGCTCCATACTCTACAAATCTTACTCAAACTGGGTTTAGTGCTTATAATGTTTAGAGTTTTAATATCAAATTTGAATCTTTCTCTCGATCTGGCTTTTAAATCTACATCTCTTCAGTATGTGAAAAATTAAACATGATCTTGGCTTTAAAATCTACATCTCTTCAGTATGTGAAAAATTAAACATGATCTTTAGAATAAGACATCAAAAACAAAGAGCATGATCTGCTTAGAATTGACTTGATTGACTCGAATATGATAGTAAAAATTTTTATGACTGTTTGCAATAAATGTAATAAACAACTTTAAATACACTCGAAAATCAGAGGAGCCTAGGTAAACACAAAGTGTTCGTCTGTACGCTTCCAACAGTTTTGAATCGATTTCAAGAAAAATTGACGTATTACTATATTATATCAAGATACATAATTCTGTTAATCTGAAAAAAATTTGGATGTATGGTGTTGCTATGCTATAAAAATGCAGAGAGATCATTTCAACACGCTTCTCCCCTTACAGCATTTATTGGGTTCCAATAAAACTTGATACACAAGTAGCGTTTTACGTGGTAACATGTATCTAATTAAATTATTTGACAGTTTTCAAAGACTAGTGACAGGATAACTTTTCTTAAATTATTTATACAAGTCATCTTGTAACTGAATGAAGATTTTATTTCATGCTTTATACTTGTCCTCTCTATTTGGAATAGAGACAACACAAAGGTGTACATATTAAAGTTTCTCTAGTACATTTTCAACATAGGGCACCTGTCTTTGTTTATTTTCTCTTTGTTTATTTACATTTAGTATAATACATGCAAACTATGTTTTCATTTACCTTATTTTGGTCTAATATAATGTTAAAACTGAACACCATTCATAAAAGGAAGAGATTTATCTTAGTCCCCCTTATTTCTCTTCTCTCTCCTTTGTATTTCTCCAGCCCCTACATAAACCTTACTCTTGGTCATGGTTCAATGTACTTCTCTTTACAAATTTCATCTCTCCTCCCTTGTCATTGTGATAAACTTGGGCGTGACAAAAATGACTTCTGTATGCTTCTGCCACGTCAGGAAAAAAAGTTAACTAATGATATCAATATTGCACAGTTCATTGCGTTTCAAATTAAAAGGAAATCAAATGCACATTCAATAATATAAATTGTAAACAAAAGGGTAACGTGAGATATTCAGTCATGTATTACACGTTGCAACGACCAGCTTAAAGCAATCAGGTGTAGCAAATGCGAAGGGTTTATTTGCCCCCATGCTGATATCAGAGATAGCAATGTGCGTGTGATATTAGAAAAAAACCTAATAAAGGAGTAGGCCTATTTATAATTGATTGATTGTATGTTGTTTAACGTCCCTTTCGAGAATTTTTCACTCATATGGAGTGACTTGCCGGTGGAGAGCTGCAAATTTTGTCCTATGCTCGGCACTTACGGCCATTGAGCAGTGAGGGATCTTTTTCGCGCCAACACCTACTGTGACACGGGACCTCGGTTTATACAGTTTCATCCGAAGGACTGGTCTGCAGTGGGATTCGAACCCGCGACGGCCTATTTATGAGTTATGTTCAGCTTTTAAGAACACTTAAATCTATTTCACTGTTTTTCATTTATTTTACACAACGTAACGTAATTGTCTACGTAACGAAAAAGATATGTATTAATTACTTGTTACATATTTTTGGATAAAAACTGATAAAAAGTTGCAAAAGCCGACGACATACGATACTTATAAATTATTTTTTATCACAGCATATGTTTTTTGAAGATTACAAAAAATTTGAATTTGAGTCCCATTCTCAAGCAATTGCATACTTTTCATCCAACTCAAATAATGCGGCTTTGGAGTCAGTTCAGGTTGACGCATATACTGTAAACCACTTTTTATTCGTGAGAATTTTATTTTTGCGTATTTACGCGAGACTGATTTCCTCCTCATGTATATTTTTATTAGGAAAGACTATATATAGAACAATAGTCAATAGAAAATTTTGCAATTGTTTCGCTTAAAAATGCTAAATACCCATCTCGCGGAAATAAAGTGTCGCGAAAATTTGGTGATCTTCAGTACGTTATTGCTTGGATAAACAAAACTTTTAGTTTGCGATATTAAGTTGAAATTAAAAACCGCTCTGTATAGAAATTTCTGAATATGGCGTCCCTCCGGGAAGCATTGGGAACACTTAAAGCAATATGAGCTGCATTTTTTGAAAATTTTATTTTTCAGTTAAAGTGTGCTTTTATGATAAATCTGTACGTAACTTAAACCTTCATCATCAATTGTATGAAAATAGAGTATTTGTTTGTTTCATAAGAAAAATTTCAGTACAATGGAATGTATAGTACTATAAAAAAAATTCAATATTGCACGGGACGACCAAAAAAAATTAATTTTACTTATAAATAGTTATCCCTTCGTAAATTTGAACAACAGAAATTTATAAGCGTTCTTTTCTTTCTGTCTTTGCAATAGTTAATTACAATTTTGCAACAAAAATTTCCGACATCAAATTTGCAACTCATATTCTTTAGAGATGACTTAATCCTTTATCTGGCCTTTTATTCTCATGTCTATTTTTCAGCAAGGAGTCGCTATTACATTTAATTTCAAAACAAAGGTTAAGTAAATGCCACGTCTTCCTCGTTCATGATTCAATTTATTAATCCTCTAATTGATTTTAGTCTTAAAAACAGTTCATTCAATTCCTAAACAAACAAAATTGCGACAGATTATCCGCTTTAAACTTTAAAACATCAATATAACATAAACTTAGGTTTCAGTTGGTATCTGAAATAGGTAAATTACATGGATAATTTAAAAGATCATAGATTTTAATCATCATATTAAGCAATTTTAACATTTTTACTCTTGTTTTTCTTTTCTATGTGTCAAACTGTTTTGTTGAGCATTACAAATAGGATTTACCCATTACACAGAGCTACAGAAGACAATAAAAAAAACAAACTTCTTCAGAATTTTTTTTTTTGGAGGAAACGGTTGTGAATACTAGTGGAGAACTCCCTACTGCAATTTTTTTCTGACCGTTGTAGAAAATAATACTGATAGAAAGAAAATGGAAAAAAAACAGATAAACAGAAATTAAATTTGCTGTGCAGAGCCAGGTTTCAGCTCGTTCAATCAGTCACCTTGGAAACTGAAGCTATCTGTTTGATGAATAATTGCAAATTTTCCAGAAATTTCTTTAAAGTTATATGGCTTCCAGTTTCTACATATTGCTTTTCTTCTCAGGCTATAAATAAAATATCATTCCCTCAATGTATAATCTCTAAAGCATCGAGATGAATGCATTATATATTGGTTATTTTGATCACTATAATAAAGAGATATACTAAACTCAGCATACCATATTCAATTCTAAAATGCACTTGGTAATCTTTTGGTTTTTTCTTTCATCAAGGATTTAAATTGAGTATAAGCATTTTCGACTATTACTTTAAACTTTACATAAATTCTCTTTGGCAAATATTTTGGGATGTTTGTGATAATAATAAACTGTATACCATACAAAACAAAGTTAATCAATCACCCGACTTTGGCCTGAAACGTCAGGACGAAGTCATTATTTCAAGAATAAGAATTGGGCATTCCAGGTTTTCCCATTCATATTTACTGAGCGGGGAACAACAACCTGAATGCATATCTTGTGACTGTGCAATAACTATAAACCATATACTGTTAGAATGTTCTGATCTTACGCCTGTTCGAAATAAACTTTTTAATGGTGTTCAAACAATGCATGATCTTTTTACAAATGTAAGTCCTAGTACAATTTTACAATACTTGCAAGAAACTGATTTTTACAATAAGATATAAATGTATATATTTTTATTGGCATATTTGTAATGCTCAATTTAACTGTTATTTTTAAATTTAAAGTCCGTTGGATGGGACGTAAAACGGTGCCCCATGTCAAGGATTACAACCCCCTTGGCACGCTAAAGATCGTTTCTCTGGTTTTCGAAAAAGAGTAGGCTCATTGGGGGCCGCCAGAGAAACCCAAAAACTTTCAAAACCGTTTATAGAGTATTTAAATTCATACCGCCAAAATATGGCTGTAATATTGCCGACTCGGCTTAAAACAACAATAATCAATCAATCATTAATCTCAAACAAGAGGCCTAAGGGCCTTAACGGTCACCTGAGTATAATGTAAGGATCCATTGATTAAAACAAAATAAGCTGATAAATGAAGCTATGTTGCCCAAAAGAAAGACAAATAGGATTATCAGGAATCCGCAAAATATTTAGTTCTCAGTAACAAATCTTAAAGTTGATCTATTATATGTTTGCACTTTCCTCCATTTGTCATAATCCTCATGCCGACTAATCAAAACAATGGTTTTAGAACACTATTAGTTAACACATTTCATTCCCCCTCACATATGCCTCTCTTAGTCTTTGAGGATTATTTAATGTACAAAGATACATATTTTTTCTTCTCGATTTTCATTTATCTATTATTTAAAGGTCTACATGACCCTTAATACAATGAAAGTACTTTTTCTGTTACATAATATAAAAATTCTTATACATCTCTGTTATTCAATCGACCTGTTAAGTTACATTTTTTACAGTGATGAATAGCAAAGGGGAATAATTTCTTTCAGTAGTAATTAATAAATTGACCAAAGGGTACAGAATTTCAAAATCTAGTAAAACACTCTTGCTTATTACAACATGTACAACTTTATATACTCTGTTTGCCTTCTAGATGCCCAGGAGCAGAGAAAAAGATTTTCAAAGAAAGAATCAATTTTATCTATAAATTCAATATAGCCCCACCATAATACCAGAGCCCCTGACCCACGGGCCAGGATATTCACAATTTTGAAAGAGGCACCTTTGCTCAGAATAACCATGCATGTTTCC